CCATATCGAATAGAGCTTGAATCTTCTCGGGGTTTATTTCTATCCCTCGCTGATTAGCCATGTACCCCAGGAACTTTCCTGACGATACCCCGAATGAACACTTGAGAGGATTCAGCTTCATTCTGTACAGTCGGAGAATGTCAAACATCTCAACGAGATGTGCAATGTGTTCTGAGGCGACCTAGGATTTGACCAGCATGTCATCCACATAGACCTCCATTATTTTTTCGATCTGGTCAGAGAACATTCGGTTAACCAGCCGCTGGTAGGTTGCTCCAGCATTCTTGAGGCCGAAAGGCATAACTTTATAACAATACAGCCTCCGGTCTGTAATGAAGGACGTATGCTCCTCGTCTGGCCCATACATCGGATTTGATTGTATCCCGAGTATGCATCCATCAAACTTAGTAGCTCGTACCCCGAGGTGGCATCCACGAGCTAGTCGATTCTCAGTAGAGGGAAGCTGTCTTTCGGGCAAGCCTTGTTAAGGTCGCTGAAATCAACACAGGTCCACCACTGGCCATTTGGCTTCTTTACCAGGACCGAGTTGGCTACCCAGGTCAGGTAGAGTGCCTTTCGGATGGACCCATTTCGGATGAGGTTTTCCACTTCTGATTTTAATGCAGCATACTACTCCGGATCCATTGTTCTTCTTTTCTGGCAAATCGGTTTGGCCTCACTGTCGACGTTTAATGCATGGCAAATAATGTCCGGGCTGATCCCGACCATATCTGCATACAACCAGGCAAACACATCAATGTTTTCTCTTAAGAAGCTTATCAGTTCGGACGCGAGCTAAGGGTTGAGACTGATCCCAACCCTTAGCACTCGGCTTGGCTCTTTCGGGTCGACTGACACTTCAGACAAGTCCCCAACTGGGCCACTGGAAGGGATCTCCTGAATTCGAGGATCCATATTATCCTCTGCTGAGCCAGGCTGCGGCTCAATCCTGCTGATCGCCATAGCCTGTCGGGACACACTTGGCGGAACGCCCTTTCTTTTACTTGCCATCTGCACTGCTTTTACGTAGCAGTCGCGAGATGCATTTTGCGATCCGCTCACTTCCCCTATCCCCGTTGGAGTGGGGAACTTCATCTTGAGGTGGTATATGGAAGTGACTACTTTGAAGCTTCTTAGTAGGAGTCGCCCCAGAATCTCGTTGAAGGCGGACGGGCAATCCACGACCAAGAACTCAGTTACCTTAGTTACCTCATCGTAGTCGCCCAGCGTGACTGGGAGTCGGATCGTCCCTTTGGGGATCAAGTGGTCTCCTGTAAAGCCATAGAGGGGGATCGAGGCGGGCTTCAGGTCCGCCTCGTCCAGGTTCATTCTTTCAAAAGCGGTCTGGAATAGGATGTTTACAGCGCTTCCGTTGTCCACGAGCATTCTACGAACGTTATGGTGCCCTATGAGGGGTGTGATCACCAAGGCTTCGTCGTGAGGATGGTGTAGGCGAGCTGCTTCCTTTTCGCAGAAGGTGATCGGCTCCTCCTTTTCAGCCTTTTGTGGTTGCTGCGATGTGTTCATTACCCTGATCGGGTCGTGATATGTTTCACGAGCGTACCTTTCCTGCGCACCTCGCGTGTTTCTTGCGAGGTGTGGGCCTCCGAAGATTGTGTTAACACTACTGTATCCATTGCGATCACGACGCTTTTTCTTTTGCTCCTCTTGGTTCTCTTTTGGAGCAGAGTCATCAATATACTTCTTGAAGTGCCCTTTCTTGATGAGCTTTTCGATTGCCTGCTTTAGAGCTCGGCATTCATCGGTGTGATGCCCGTTGTCCCAATGGAAACGACAATATTTTTTACTGTTTCTGGCCGTAGCAGGGGTTTTCATGGGTTCCGGCTCACTGAGCAGGTTGGCCTCCTCGGATTTGTCAAGAATTGTAGATATAGACACATTCAGCTAAGTGTATTGAATTCTGTCGTGGTCGCGATGAGGAACATGAGCATAAGACTTTTTGTGCTCGTAGCAGGGTTTCTTTCCTTTTCGCTGATCATCAATGTCTCCTCTACGATCTGCTCTCCTGCATTTTCCCCAACCAAACATACTGCTCAAAGTGCCAAGATCGCGACGGCGGAGTGCCACCAATGAATTCTCTATTCGGAGATTTTTTTTGCGAGGTTGTAGAATCTAGTGAGGGAAACATCGTCCTTAGGCTGTAATTCTTTCCACATGTCGGTTTACAGGCGAACTCCAGCTATTATGAGCGTTCGGATGGACTCTTCGGGGGCATGAGCCACCTTGTTGAGTTCCCTGTGGAAATGGTCGATGTAGGATTGTAGGGATTCATCCCTTTCTTGCCTTATGTTGCTGAGATAGCTCAAAGGCATCGAAAACTTTCGATTTGCTTGGAAATGCCGTAGGAACGTCGTGCTCATCTGAGGCCACGAACTGATCGATCCCGTTGGGAGTGACCTTAACCACCGCTTGGCATGAGAAGTTAGAGTCATGGCCAAACAACGACATTTTGCAAGATCCGAAACCTGGTGGAGCTCCATCAGGTCGTTGAACTCATACAAATGATCCTGCGGGACATGGTTCCCATCAAACGGCCGCATGTCGGGCATTCTGAACCCTTGTGGGAGTAGAGCAGCTAGCACTTTGGGAGAGAAGGGGGATGCAAAGGCGACCTAGGCCTGCTCGTTTTGCCGCTCTCTCAGCCTGTCCAGAGCTCACTACAGCTTCTGATGGCGGGGTCAAGCCGCGAGGCTGCTAGGATATCCACAGCAGCATTTGGTGGAATTGGAAGTATTCTAGAAGAGGTATCCCCCTGGGTTAGGGGAACTCCCTCAGCGCGCTGGTTCGCTTGCTCAAGTTCAGATTGGCGGGCCATTTGCTGCTGTAGGACCAGTAGGTTAGAGATTCTCCTGATGAAGGATGAACATTAAATTTGGCCCTCCTTCTAGCGCCAAACTGTTGATGCGTGCTTTTGACACCAACTAATCGACACGTGCGTAACGTTGATTGGTCAAGAGACGCACGTGATTATGGATAAAATGTAGAGTAAATGCAACAATGAGAGCTTTTTAAAGTGGTTCGGATGCTAAGGTAGCAAATCCTACGTCCACTGATGGTTGTATTAGAATCGTGGGTTAGGTCGCAACAGCGGACTGACTTACAAATGATTAGGGAAAAGTAAATACAAAGATCCAAGAGAGAGAGAAAACTAGTTCAGAGTGTAAAAAGGCCAAATCCCCTCAAGGAAGGGGTTTTTCCTTTTTATAGTGAGATGAGTGCAGATAATCATCATTAAATCTGTGGGTTGGTGTGAATGTCAGGACTAAATCCGGCTTTACGTCACATTGCCCACCTTCCAAGCTGATTTCACGCGATTTGGAGTAGGGAATGGACACGTGGGAGCTCCACGGCGTCTTGCAGGCCTGACGTGTGCTTACCGTTCTGACGGGAGCAGATCACCCCCCATCACGTGATTTTCCACGTCAGCCTTTGATTTCCCAAACATAACAGATTGAATTACATAGAATAAAGTTTTCGAGACAATAGTATTAAATATAATAAAAAAACTACTTCCTTAATTCAACTCAAACTAAAAAAAAAAAAGAGGAAAACAGTTGATCCTAAACTCAAACTCCTAAAACATGAAACTAACTGAAAATAAAACACTTAAACTTGTGAATCGCATTTGCGCTACGGCATAAAATTCCCTTTGCCACGGCAGGCGTCCCAGCCTTCACGTTTCTCCTTCTTTTGCCGCGACAGTGAGTTTCTAGAATTTTTTTCAGAACTCAACACCCTCCTTTTTGGCGGCCAGCTTTTTCTTCTGCCGCGGTAAGCTCTTTGCTACCACAAATTCGAATTCTTTCATTCCAATGCTGCAGGTCTTTGTTTATTTATTTATTTCTTTTTTTGGGGTAAAAGGTAATATATAAATTGTTGAAGTGAAGACTAAAACGGTGCAGTTTTTTAGCCTAAATGAAACGCTACACTTTGATATTTGCCTCTTAATGGTTCATGATCGTTGGATCAAATCTACTCTGATGGCTGACAAGCTGCATTAAGTCAACACTATAAAAGGGGGTACTGTACAGTAAAATATATGCTACGATTTTGTCTTTGATTAAAGAACCTTTGCATTCATGATTTTCTCTCTGTTATAGGTCTAAGATTAATCTTTATAACAAGTGTAATTGAGTGATTTGTTAATCAATCAGGAGGGTTTCTTTGCTCTTGTTCTTGGGGATTCCAAGTGAATGTTTCTAGAATTAGTTACTGTAAAAATTACTTGTAATTGGTGAGAGTGTGATTTGATTTGTACTTATTTTTTGTTGAATCTTGATAATAAGTAGTGCAACGAATTCTCCAATTTTCGAAGCTTAACGTTAACATAACTTATCCAATTTAAATAAGTAAACTATGGTAAAATCTGTGTTGTGATTGATTCTTGTTTTTCTGTGGCGTGTGTGATATATTTGCTGTGTGACTTTTGTAGTTTAGTTACAACATAAATAATAAAATAACGAGTCCCTGAAAGCACCAAAGAATGAATCTATGTTCTTGTTTTGAAAATTGATGGCGTTAGATTGCAGTTTTACAATCTATATTAGATCTCATTTCAACAATCAACCAACATCATTTCTATTGTTGGCAAATTAATTTGAGTTTGTCACGATGGTAATAGACAAACTTAAATATTTCTTGGAATAATGAAGAAAAACAAAACACATACAGTCAGATTCTTGATGATGTCGTAATTAAATTCAATTGACTAATGCAGATAAAGAAGTATCATGTATCAGTCTCTGTCAAATATATACATAAATATTGCCTTGACATGATTTCTCAATCACGCTTAAAAAATAAACAAATCCTACAAAGAATGCTTGAAAGCTCATAAGACTTGTAATAGAAAGAAAGAATTTCTCTATTGATTGTTACGTGTAAACCTCACTTGCGTTCCCAGTAGTTAAAACTATACAAGAGTTTACGTATATAATATGTAATTATGAGATTATGTATAATGTCCCTAGCTCCAACGATTAAGGCGTATCAGGAAGTATATAATCATCAGCTGTTATATATTTCAAACGCAAACACGGAAAAAGATTGTCCAGAACTTTCTGCACACTCCTTAGTTCCTTCTTGATCCTTCGTGGCCGCTTTGATCCACCCATTGCCATTATATCCGCTTCAATTTCTTCTTCTGTTAGTGAAATACAGAATTCACGCCTTTCTTTCCCTCCTGAATTTCTTCCAGGGGCAACCAGGGTTTGATTCTCTACGTCCGCAATTTTCTTCTTTTTGTTCTTCTTACCACAGCTGCTCACCCTTGATTTCTTCTCCGATGTCTCAAGCTTTTCACAGTCTTTCTTAGTTCTTGTGACGGCCAAAATCTGTTCCTGATCGGTCTTTATTTTTGGTCCACCTTCTGATGCACGTTGAATCTTTCCCCGAGGTCTCAACTTTTAGAGCTTCTCCGTCACTTTTTGCGTTAGCTACGAATTCGAAGTTGTACCATTGTTGCTCTTCACGCGGAATTTTATCTCAAGTTTAGGTTTTTCATTGAAAGCCGTTGGTTTCTTCTTTGAAGTGTCAACCACCTTAGGACAGTGAGAGACTGATGAAGAAGCGATTTTCACCGGCGACACAATCATGAAGAAGTTGGTAAAGGTTGTGATCAGAGAGAAACACATTGATACATTCATCAGCATACTAAAAGAGATCGATGTTGCAAAATAGAGGAACACATTGATACACTTAAATGGGCTTTTCTTTACTCGGGCTAAACTTAGAACAACTGATCAAACCCCACATACTAACCGTCCAAAAACATTGAACAGAACCAGAAAAGCTATACAAATAGAAAGGGGCCACACGGAAAAAATCAATCAATTTTCTTTCGGTACAACATAACCACCCAAATAATTAGAAAAGAAAGATGAAAACTACTCATGGAAAAAAGTTTCTTATGATTTGTAGGTTGTTTGCATACTCTTATAAGTCGTAAGAGATTAGTTGTGTTTGCAAGATGATAATTACTGGATAAGCATCAGAAAGGGGCTTCTATTGATATGATTTTTATCGACTTCTTCCATTGAAGAATGAAGATAAGCATAAACTAGTTCACATCAAATTACAAATGATCTGTGTCTCTGTTACTGTAAGAAGTGATTAGGCTCCTGCGAGCCAAATTTTGAGTCATCCTTCAATTCACCATTTTAATGCAAAGAGTTGATGAATGTACACAATTTGTTTCTAATTTAGATGTTTGTTATATCAAATTTCTTTAATTCATAAACTAGTTGATGAATGTACACAATTTGTTTCTAATCCACCCTTGTAATTCTGGACTTAGCCATGACATAGTTGTCATATAATGTTTTTGACGACAAAAATACAAAAAATGACGCCCAAGTTGTTTTTGTGACATAACCATGGATCACTATGGATATAAACGTAACCAAAAGTATTTAGCAACGCAATTACACGGTGCCGTAAAATGTGTTTGGTGATGAAAATATAAAAAGCAACACCAACGATGTTTAGCTATGTAACAAAAGGCCCGCCGTAACACCTTTTTGGCGATAAAAATATAAAAACCAACACAAAATTCATTTGGCTATGCAACAAATAGTTTGTTAGGAAACGTTTTTGGTGATACAAATATAAAAAGCAACGCCAAAAACATATTGCAATGCAATTTATGTTTTATCGTGAAAACGTTTTAGAATTTAATTTTACATTTATATGAAAATGACTGAAAGTATAAAATCAATCAATAATAAAAAAAAAATCAAAATTAAGATCAATGTTAATATAAAAAGTAATGTCGTAAGAGTTTGGCTCTTGAAGTTGACATTCAAACATGTATTTCCTTTAAGAATGTTGAATATTTATATGAATTAAAACTTTCAAGGGCAATAGGACATTGGACAGCTGGAATATAAGCCCGTGTACAGTGAAACATATTTTATCTATATTTGTTACTGTGGATAATGACTAATAACTCTTGCTAGGGTTAAAAAAAATACAAAAATCGAATCGAATTTTTTGTTAACTGAAAAATTGGTTTGATTCCGGTTGAAAAAAATAAAAAAATCAAATTTTTGGTTCGATTAGTGACTCAAGATAACGTAGAATTCGCTTAACCGTTACTGGTTCTACTAACCGGTTTATATATAAAATAATAAAATATTAAAATCCCTAATTCCCTAAACCTAAACCCCCTTTCACTTTCAATTTTCATTTCCTCTTCTTCGTTCTCCAGTCCACGCCACACTCCACAGTCCACATTCAGTCATCCACAGTCCACATTATTACACCATTATAGGCGACTAGGCAAGCAAGAGTAGCGTCATTCTCACCTCCACATCCAGTCATTCTCTGTAGTCTCTTCGTCACGTCAGTTCGCCGTTCTTTGTTCTCTCCTCCGACAGAAAGAGCAACTTCGTCGTTCTTCCTTCTCACCTCCCGCAGTAGCTTCATCGTTCTTCGTTCTCACCTCAGCAAGACAGCAACAGTTTCGTCACTCTCAACTTCAGATCGGTCCAGCTTTCCAACAAGTATTTGTTTAAGCAAAAAAAAAATTATAAATTGAAGGGGAAAACCGGTTAACTGTTTTTTATTAACCGATTTTCTCTTAAATCGGTTTGATTTTGGTTCGAAAAAATTCTTAAACCGAAAAATCGGTTCAATTCAAAAAAAGGGTTAACCGGTGAACCGGTTTTGCACACCCCACTCTTGTCAGCTTAGGTGACGCGAGGCCATTCATTGCCAACCTGACTTATATGAAGGAAGTTATATCTACCATTCTTATACTCTATAATCGTGGAGGTCCTCACCCCTCCCCTCCCCTCCCCTCCCCTCTATGATAATGGCTCTGCAACAAATCTTTTATCTGGTAGAACATGCATATGTCAAGATATTTGATGGGGTGCCGTGTGAACCCCGCAGTTATGGAAAGAAGACCACATATTCTGATATTCATCTTTGGGAGAGCATGTCGAAGCCACCAGACTCACAGTTCTCGTTTTCTACTGTTAAAAACACTCAGATTTCTTGCCATCAAAGTCTATCGATTAGATCAAAAGTTTTTTTTTTTTTTTTTTTTTTTTTTTTATTTTTGTTCTGCTCACACAACAGCTTCAGCTACATCTGCACCTATCTTGTTTGTTTTTGAAATAAACACAAAATATTTACCATTATTTATTTATTGATTCCCTTTTTCAAAGGGAAATTAAAATGCATGAAACGTCACCCCTCGATCGTCATGCATAATCCTTGACTGGACAAAGACAAATACAGGGTTGTCAAAATTGGTTTGGTGACCCACATAATAACTATTTGGTAGGTGTAAGTGTAACAATCTTTTTTTTTTTTTCGTTCTCGGAGTAAATGTGAGCTCATTAATTGTCACAAAAGTCTACAAATATTGGGTTGGCTTGACCAGATATGCAACTGTGAAGAGTTGATAATTATATATACTGATTTTCGTTATTAGAAAGAGAAAATACTTTATAGTTATTGAAAATGACGTGTGTCAAAATGAAGCAACACTGGGTCAGTAGACTGAGTGAGGAAGATCACTTATTTATATGGGCGTAAGCAAGCGGAAAAGATTATCAGAGACATCCATTGGAGAGAGAGAGAGAGAGAGATATACCTTGATGAAAAACATATACATGTGAAAGTTTCAAGACGAAGAAGTAGTTGATTAATTTTCGGAGAAATTTTTCAGGTCTTTCGTCTGGTCTTGTTATATATATTTTGCTTGGTGTTATCTCATTAAATATTTTAGTTTGAAGTTTCCCATTCAATTTTCGAGATTTTTAGGAAAGAATTTAATTTATTTACTATTATTTAATGGCATGATAGTTCCTGTAATTTGTTTATAATTTGTGATTATTTGCCAGCTTGGTTTTAATTATCTGCTATTTTGCTAGCGTATGTTTCAAATTAACCACTCTGAGAAATCAGACCCGATTACGAAGATGAAAGATTTAATTTAGTTTTGACAGTTGATTATGTATTTATTGTAATCATTAGTTGTCTGTTTACATCCAGGAGTAAGAAGTTGTCGAAGCAGAGAGTGAATCACTGAGGAATAAGGAAATCCTGTCAAACAATATTTCAGGCTAAGATGAATGGGTCAGGAAGTTCCTCTGAAGATAAGCATCAAAACGAACACGAGGTAATTATTGATATCAAAGAAAATATTGAGCGTCAATATTGTTGTGAGCATCTATATAGTTGTATTTATAAGGTTCCTAAGAAACTTAGGAACATAAATAATGATGCTTACACTCCTCACATAGTTTAAATTGGTCCATATCACCATGACAAAGAAAAATGGGATGACGTAGAAAGCAAAAAGGAATGGAAATGGGATGACATGCAAAAGCACAAGGAGAGATATTTGGAAAAGTTCAGAAAGAAAGAGAAAATCGAGAACTTCGTCAAAGAAGAGGAACAACATATCCGCGCTTGTTATGAAGAAAAATTTAAGGGTTTCGATTTCATAGAGATGATTCTGCGTGATGCTTTCTTCATCATTGAACTCTTCTTGAGGAAGTACCATGATGATAGAGGAGATTTTTTGTTAAGTAAACCGTGGCTAACAAATGCTATAAAACTGGACTTGCAATTACTTGAAAATCAGCTTCCATACTTCGTCCTGGAGGAGTTATACATGTTAGCCTATGGCTGCTCCGCTAGACCTTCCTTCCTTACTCTTTCTTGCAAGTTTTTCAGTTATAAGGAGCCAGATGAAGAAGCCAAACGGAATATGGAAATTAAAGATTTTGTCGACTTGAGAAGACATACTGTGTTGTTCGGAGTCGAAATCGATCCAGAATTACCAAAGTCTCCAGGCGGAAAATAGAAGATTTACCAAGTGCAGTGAAGCTGCATGAGGCCGGGGTGAAGTTTAAGTCGGTCAAAAACAAAGATGCAGTGAAGCCGGGTGAGTCGAGGAGGAAGTGTAAGCCAGAAAAAGGTTTACTTAACATAGAATTTGAAAAGAGAGAAAGAGAAGACTCGTGTATTTGGTGGCTTAGAGGAAAGGTGCTAAAGATTCCACGCCTTAAAATTGAAGATGGTACGGAATGTTTGTTTCGAAACTTGATGGCCTTGTAGCAGTGCCATTATCCATTTGAAACTCGTATTTGCAACTATATTAATCTAATGGATGCTCTGATCAACACGAGAAAAGATGAGGATTTGCTTGTTGACAAGAAAATCATCTCCAATTGTGTGGGCGACCATGATTCAATTAAAGAGATGTTTAACAGACTTTGCCTCAAGATTACGCCAAGTACTTCTTGTTACCAACGCACTTGCGACGACCTGAAAAAGCACAACGACAAATGGTGGAATCGCACCAAGGCAGCGTTGATAAGTGTGTACTTTGAAAATCTTTGGAGAGGCACTGGACCTGTTGCTGCAACCATACTCTTGCTGCTCACTCTGTTACAAGCCACCCAAAAATTCTATCCGGAACTGTTTACTCGTCCAAAATAATTAATTTTTTATGTCTTTCTAGTCCTTGTATAATTAGAATGTCTACTTCCTACTACTAAGCTTGTAATAACTTTTGTAGCTTTCATTTATAATAATGTATTCTCTTCCATGCTATATGTATTGTTCAACCATTTGCAATATCATTAGCGTATCTAATAAATTATGCTTTCGTATAAGTTTAAGAACGTGTATTCCGAGTGAAACTTAGATATCGCTTACTAATAAATTTATTTATATTCATCAGTTCAGTAACACGTCAAATTATACCTCAATTTGATTAAAAAAAATTGGGTTATGGTATCCCTTGTCGCTGGAGCAAAAGAACAAAAACAATAACAAGAACATGATTTACTTAAAGAGATTATTGGAGAATTAGTTGCTGCTGCTATTTGTTGTAATTAGTTGAACATAGCTGCTGTACTAGTGAGATAAATAGTTAGTTATTAGAAGTTACTTTAGTTACATTAACCAAAAGTTAGTGAGCTGTAATATTGTAGTTAAGTAACTACGGCTAGTAAGCTACAGTTAGCTTTTAGTTAAAAATCTTGTATGATGTAATCCAGAACAGAGCTAATAAAAAAATTATTGAGTTTTCTTTCAGAGCTTCTCTGTCCTTTATCTTCTTACATGGTATCAGAGACAAGTGCCTCCGCTTCGTGATTTTTCTTCTAGATCTATCAATACTTTGAGCTTCACGGTATAATATGAACCAACTTTACCAAAAAATTTCTTTCTTTGCGAGCCAAGAACAAATTAGGGTTCGTCGATGGGACTTACAATAAATCAACATTCAATTCTTCCTTGCATGTACAATGGGAGTGATGCAATTCACTGGTATTAGCCTGGATTTTTAATATAATATTGAAGGAGATTTTTACTGGAATCGTCTATTCAACCAACGCCTATCAATTGTGGCAAGATTTACAAGTGCAGTATCATAAAGTGAATGGAACGAGAATTTATGGCATCCATTAAGAAATTCCAAATCTCACTCAAGGTACAAATAAAGTGGCAATTTACTATAACAAACTCAAGTCGCTTTGGGATGAATTGAATTCTTCGGTTAGTTTGCCTCCTTCAGATAGTGTTTCTGCAAAAGCATATCCTGATCATCTCAATCAACAGAAATTGCTGCAATTTCTGATGGGACTTAACGATTCATACTCTATGGTGCATAGTCAAATTCTTCTTATGTCACCGTTACCATCTGTTAAGCAAGCCTATTCAGTGGTGAATCAAGATGAAAGTCAAAAGGTTCTAACTGGAATCAACATCAGCTTTGAGGTTACGACTACTCTTTATGCACAGAATAATCAAAAGGTTCAAAACCAAAATCCTAAGTATAAGGGGAAGAAGTCGTATATTGAATGTGACTACTATCACTTGCCTAGACACAAAAGAGACACCTGCTACAAGCTGCATGGTTATCCTGTTGATTTTCAGTTCACAAAAGGAAAGACTGGTACAAAGGCTAAGGCTAATCAAGTGTAATCTCCACAAGTGCCAACACAAGCTTCAAATTCAACCTCTAAAAATTCGAATTTTGGCACAAATCTTGGATCAGTTTTGTCTGCAGAACAATGTAGTCAACTATGCAATTGCTAGGAAAGGAGAATGTTGCTCCAACAGCTAATCTTGCAGGTAATTTCGCTTCCTTATACTCATGTCATAATATTGATAATTAGATCATAGATTTTGGTGCCACTAATCACATGACACATGATTTCTTTAGCTTAAGATCTCCTGTTGCTGTTAGATCATCCCTAAATTTTCACTTGTAGGACTCCTTAATGGCACAAAGACTAATATCAAGCATACTGGTTCTGTCCATTTGGATAGTGATGTTTGTCTAGAGGATGTCCTACATTTACCTAAATTTAAATATAACCTTCTTTCAATGTCAACATTGAATGTTTTGCAAAATTTTTCCATCACATTTTACCCTAATTTTTGCTTAATCCAGGACCTTTGGAGTGGCAAGTTGAAGGGGATTAGTAGACATAGTCAAGGACTGTATTACTTTGTACCTATGTCAAAAATGAAATCAAATGTTTCAGGTTTACATACAATAAATAAAACTGTTACCAAGACATCTTGTTTCAATCATATTGTAACCTGTGGTTCAGAAATGAATAAAGACTATGTTTCCTTTTCTTCTTTTGCATCTTGTTTGTCTCTTAATTCTGAAATTTGGCATCAAAGATTAGGGCACGTTCCATATTCTGTGTTAAAGTTGATGCATAGCAAGCTGCATATATCACATCCACCTCACTGTCAAGTTTGTCCTTTAGCCAATAGACTAGAACACCATTCCCTTTGAGTACCACAACCACTACACATAATTTTGATCTTTTACATACAGATGTTTAGGGTCTATATAAGATACCAGCTCATAGGAATGCTAGGTTCTTTTTTACTATTGTGGATGACTATTCTAGAATCACTTGGTTGTTCTTTATGCAGTTCAAATCAGATGCATTTCAAACCATTAAACATTTTCTGTTAATGGTTCACAATCAATTTCAAACAACTCCTAAATGCATAAGAACAGATAATAGTCTAGAATTTTTTAATAAAAATTGTTATGATTTGCTGCATGACAAGGGCATTCTTCATGAAAGTACATGTGCATATTCACCTCAATAGAATGAGATTGTTGAGAGAAAGCATAGACACATTTTAGAAGTAGCTAGGGCATTAAAGTTTTAGTCTAATGTTCCAAACACTTTTTGGGGCTATTGTATTCAAACTGCAATCTACTTAATTAATAGGTTTCCAACTATAATTCTTAAAGGTTTGTCACCATATGAAAGAGTTTTTGGGAAGAAACCTACGATATATCATTTAAGAGTATTTGGTTCCTTGGCTTATTCTACTATTTTATCTCCTAAAGACAAACTGTCTCCAAGGTCCTCTCCATATGTTTTCATAGGATATTCTCTCACTCAAAAAGGCTACTCTTTGTATCCATTCATGCCACTAGAGATGTTATTTTCTATGAACATATTTTTCCTTTTACTTGGTCTCAGCCAACTAAACCACTTTTTTTACCTGAAGCATTTATGGACATAGACTCTTTTTCATCACACTCACCATTAACATCTCCTACTGATTTAACTAGAGAAATATCATCTGTTCCAATTATAGAACCAGGTATTGTTTTACCTATCATAGATTTAACCTCGGAATAGGTTTCTACACCTAATTATCCTTCTTCTCCTCACCTAAGAAAATCCACCGGGTCATCTAACTCCTATCTGGACCTCTGGCTTTATTTGTCCCACAATTACACATAAAACTTTAGCCACATTAGTTAAATATCCCATCTCTAATTCTTTATCTTACAATCATCTTTCCTTTTCCTATAAAGCCTCTTTGTCCAAATTTTCTTCTTTCACTGAGCCTACCACTTTTGCCTAAGCCTCTAAAGATCCCAATTAGGTTGATGCTATGAAAAAGGAGGTTCAAGCTTTAGAACTCAATGCCATTTGGTCTTTGGTTCTTCTGCCTCTTGGCAAGGTTCCTATTGGATGTAAATGGGTTTATAAGTTGAAGTATAAAGCTAATGGTTCTTTGGAAAGATATAAGGCATGCTTAGTTGCAAAAGGTTACACACAACAGGCAGGAATAGATTATGATGAGACTTTCTCTCCTGTGGTAAAGATGGTTACCGTTAGAACCATCTTAACATTAGCCTCTATGTATGATTGGCCTTTGTATCAAATGGACGTAGATAATGCTTTTTTACAAGGTGATTTGAATAAGGATATTTACATGACTCTTCCACAAGGTTTTTCTAAACAAGGAGGACAAAATTTGGTTTACAAACTTCATAAGTCTCTTTATGGTTTGAAACAAGCTTCTAGAGCTTAGAATCATAAGCTAACTTCAGCTCTTATTTCTAGAGGTTTCCAACGATCTCAATCAAATCACTCGCTCTTTATTAAGATGAATAATTCCCAAATTGTCATTTTGCTTGTGTATGTCGATGACATAGTAATAACCAGGAATGACTTGGCTTTAATCTCTAGCACTAAAAAGTTGCTTCATTCTCATTTCAAGATAAAAGACTTAGGGCTCTTGCGATTTTTTTTTTTTTGGGGGGGGGGGGTGGTGGAGGGGATTTTAAGTACCTTGATCTGCTAAGGGTATTAGCATTTGTTAAAGGAATTATGTTCTTAAACTTATTTCAGCTTCTAGCCTCTCTGCTTCCAAACCAGCTATAATTCCCTTGGATCAGTACATGAAGTTTACATCTGAAGCCTATGACAAGTTGTTCAACATTGAAGATGAGCTGCCTTTATCTGATCCAACTCCTTACCAAAGACTTATAGGGAAGCTTTTATATCTTTGCATGACTAG